CGGCCCAGGCGGGCGGGGGCAGTGCGACAGCCCCGGCTTCACGGCCTCCTGGGGAGGAAGCCTGCGGGTCATGCCACACCCTGGCCGCCCACAGCCGGGACTGCGGGCACAGCATCGACTGTCCCATGAGAAGGGGAACCCCAGGCAGGATTCTCAAACTGTAGGAAGGTTGTGTAACTTAGAAAGAAAACTATTGAGTTTTCTGCTCATCAAAGAGACAGAGTTTTTTAAAAGACTGAGAAGCAGTGACCTCGGGCAGCGGTCCTGAGCTAGCAGCATCCCGGGGACAAGCAGTGACCATTTCCACCACCCACCACCTGGGGAGCCCGCGCTAGGGCAGGGGACACGGGTGCACCCGCTGGCCCTCCCGCAGCATTAGCTGAGAACCCGGGTGAAGACCATGGTGCTTCCTCCCTGGCCAGCCCAGTGCCCAGCTGCCCGGCCTGAACCGAGTCAGAGGCTGAGGAAGAAGCTCCCTCCACCTCCAGGCCTGCCTGTCCGACTGCTTCAGAAGCCTCCCCGCCTCCCGCCTCCCGCCTCTTCTCGCCCAGGTGACAGGCAGGGCAGGCGCTCCCCGGGAAGGGGAGTCAGGGTTCCCTGGCTCGTCATCTTCGTCCTAACGTCCTAACGAAAGGGACCATGGGGAACCCAGCTGAGAGCTCTGCCAGGGACCACTCGCTCTCAGGGCACGAGGGGCAGGCCTGCAGGAGAGCACGCACCGGCCCAGCCCCACTCACCAAGTAGACATCACAGAGGCTGTGGAGCCAGAAGTGGTGTAGGGCATGGGTGGCAAGGGGCAGCTCCCGGGTGAGGAAGCCTCGCTCGCACTCCCGGGCGGTGCGGGCCAGGCGGCTCAGGATCCAGGCGTCCATGGGGGACGCGGGGCACAGCTGCAGGCAGAGAGGCTGCAGGTCACGGGAGGGCGACTCCACGCCCCTCCCTTTCCTTCCAGAGGCTGCCTTCCCGGCAGACAAGCCCACGCCAGGCACCTCTCTCCCACCTCCTCTGCAGGCTGCGGCGTGAAGTTCTCCCCTAGGGCGCTGAAGATAAAGCGCAGGGCGTTCCAGACCTTGTTGCAGAAATGTCGGGAGCTCAGGACCTCAGAGACAGACAGGTGCAGGTCCCCCGCTGGGAGGGAGAGAGGAGAGCACATGCAGGCGGACGCGCTGGCACCGGGCGTCCTCAGCCCTGCCAGCCCCTCTTCGCGACCCCAACACCTTGCCTGGCTTACCCAGGGCCCCATGGGAGCACAGGGCGAAGCGTAGGGCATCTGTCCCACACTCGGGGATCCCATGAGGGAAGTCCTTTCTCTGCAACCAGAGGGAGGAGGGGTGGCAGATGCCCATGAGGCTGCAGGGCCAGGAGCCTGGGTAGCAGAGAAAGCCAGTGGCTGTGAGCTAGAGGCCGGATGGCACAGACACCAGGGACACACCTGCGCTGCAGCTGCGATCGCCAGCTCTGCGGGGTCCAAGTTCCCATCCCTCAGCTTCTCCTGCAGCACCTGGGACAGGTGAGTATTCGCTGGCCTCAGTCCAAGACCCACCCCTACAAGGGTCCCACCCCTGTACCCCCAGCTGGCTCCTCCCCCCACAAACCCCAGCCCTGCCCAGCTCTCATCCTACCTGCAGCTCCGCCCCTCGGATGATGTCCCGTGGGTCCAGCACGTTCCCCAGGGACTTGCTCATCTTCCGGCCCTGCCTGTCCCGAACCATGGAGTGCAGAAGCACCTGGGGCGGGAAGGCGGCAGAAGGCGGCCTGGAGAGCCTTCCCGAGGCCCCGTGGGCTTTAGGGCTGAGGGTGGGGAGGGATCGGGAGGTGGAGACCACCAAGGCAGGGGTCAGGGCGAGGCCAAGGTTGGGGACACGAGCTACCGAGGGACAGGGCACGACAAGGCGTTACCTTGCTGAAGGGGAGCTGCCCCGTGAGCTGGGTCCCCAGCATGACCATGCGGCCCACCCAGAACAGCAGGAGGTCGCTGCCGGTCTCCAGAAGTGACAGGGGGTAGAAGCGAGTGAGGTCTGGGGTCTGGGAGGAAAAGACAAGCAGGAACAGGCCCTGGCGCCATCTCCTCGAGACTCAGGCCCACCGTGTCCTTCACCTCCACCCTCCCTCTGCTAACAGCCCCCCCCCTGCCAGGGGCCTCACCTGCTGAGGCCAGCCCAGGGAAGAAAAGGGGAAAAGAGCTGAAGAGAACCACGTGTCCAGGACATCGGGGTCTGCCAAACAGAACCGGAACCTCA